TTAGCGTAGAGCGTACATATTAGCGCTGCCCCCGACATGTATAAAAATCGTGCTTGGCGATTTAAATGCCAAGGTGGGCAACGAAGAGATCTTTGGTGCCAGTGTCCAAAAAATCAGCCTCCACATAGAAACGGCGGGCTGAGGTTGATCCACTTCGCCGGGGCCCGAAACTTGGCAGTATGTATTACTGGGTTCTAGCATAAAAAGATCCATCAAGCTACATAGATGTCTCCACATCGAAAAACGGGAAACCAAATCGAGCATGTTGTGATAGACGGAAGGCATGCTTCCATGTTTTAGATGTACATATGTACGTACACTCCGAGGGCCAAACATCAACTCGTACTACTATATTGATGCATCTAATATACGACCCAACCTCGGGGAAGTAAAAAAAGGGCCCCCAACAATGCAGGGAAAGTTCAACGTCGAAAAGCTGCAATCAAAACAGACGGCCAATGGATTCGGCGCTCGACCCTCACACGTGCTGTGAGAGAGCACTCTTCAACAAACCGACTTGCGCGAGCAGTGGAACCACATTTCCCGCTCATTACTGGTACGATGAGGAGTGTGAGAAAATGCTTGAAATGCTGGCCGACAGAAAAAACACCCGAAATTTTTAGCAGAGAGTTCAGCGACTTACGGAAGGTTTCAAGACCGATGTCCAGAACGTACTCAGATTATGGAGGGACCCTTTTGAATAGCAGAAGCACTGCAAGAAGTGGAGAAGACGAACCCGAGGTCCCACTCGATGACGATGGAGTCGTTATCCCAGCGCCTGACTATGACGAAAAGTGCCTAAGCTCCTTGAGCTGACGGCCTGTCAGCTGAGCTATTTAATTACGATGGCAAGGAGGTAATAAGGTGCATGCCCGACGACTGGAATTCTAGTGCGCTCTGCCTAATCCACAAGAAAGGCGAACCCGCCATGCGTGCCAACTACCGTGGGATCAGCCTTCTAAGCATAGGTTGCAAAGTCTTATCGAATGTATTGTCTACCATAGACCAGGTGTTCACAGTACGCCAAATCTTGGAAAAGACCCGCGAGAAAAGGATCGGCACTCACCACCTATTTGTTGACTTTAAAGACGCCTTCGACAGCACTAAAAGGAGTTTCCTATATGCCGCTATGTCTGAATTTGGTATCCCCTCAAAACTCATACGGCTGTGAAAAATGAAGTTGAGCAATACCACCAGCTCTGCTCTGTTGCCGTTCGCCACCAGACGGGGTTACAGACAGGGCGACTCTCTTTCATGTGACTTCTTTAATCTGATGTTGGAGAAGATAATAAGATCTGCAGAACTGAACAGCTCAGGAACAATTTACTACAAGAGCGTGCAGTTGCTGGCTTATGCCGATGACATCGACATCATCGTTGGATAGGGAAGAAAAGCGAATGGGTCTGGTGGTAAACGAGGACAAGACGAAGTATCTCCGTCATCAAACAAACAGTCAGCACATTCGCGCCTTGGCACCCACGTCACTGTTGACAGTTACAATTTCGAGAAAGTAGAGAATTTCGTTTACTTGGGAACCTGCATTAACACCGATTATAATGTCAGCATGGAAATCCAACGCAGAATCGCTCTTGCCAACAAGTACTGCTTTGGACTGAGTAGGCAATTCAAGAGTAAAGTCCTCTCTCGACGTACGAAAACCACACTATAAATCACTCATCATGCCCTTGCTGGTAAATGGCGAATTAAATTACAGCGGCTCAACTGGCTTGACCATGTCGTTCGACCGGACACCGACGCCCCAGCTCTGAAAGTATTCTGGCTTCACTTGGCATTTCCAATTGGCGTCAGTTGGTCAAAATCGCTTTGGCGGTTACAGCGCCAAATAAGAAGAAGAGGAAGAGAATAGATCTATAACCCTATCAGTCACACAGTGTTATAATCCCGACGAAATCCTTGACGGTGGTACCGGGAGGGGAACGGTACATGACGGTAGGAAGTTTAGTTTGGATTAAAGTCTCACACGGACGGGGTTAGGCTTTCGATGCTTCCTCCTCGTAAAATAAACAGTAAAAAGTAAACAATTTAAATCGACGAATAGTTTTATATCAACTTTTGTGAACTTCTGTTTATTTGTTTTTTGTACAACATATTTACCTCTATTGGTTACAATAATTTTAAGGTATAATAAACAATTTTTTAGTAAGTAAGTTATTGGTTTTGAATTTTTTTTTGTATGGCATGCCATAACTGCTGTAATGAAAGTTTCAAAGAAACACAATTTGTAAAGAAAATTATTGTTAACTTTATTATTATTTTAGAAGAAAAAACTCTTTCTGACGACTCGACTTGCTTTTCATAACACTCGCTTCACTTTCACTCGCTTGACTTGATTTGGAAAGAGTATATCAATGCCATATTTGAAATCAAATGAGTACACTGCAGCTAAACATTGATTTCAAAACTAACTATGAATCTCACTGTTTGTACGGTGTTTCTCACTAACCTTATACAGTTCACAGCAATGTGTTCATACTGTTTAGATGGAAGTGAGTAAACATGCTGTTGTCTGCTAGACACGAATAAAGGCGCGCCACTGTTTTGACTACGAAAAAGGATGCATTGGCGGAAAAAGGCACGTAAAATAAACTTCGGCGAAAAGTACATGTAAACCTAGTTGACGGCGAAGAAAGTTGCGTAAACATAGATTTATACCTAGCCAAGAACTGTCATTTCAGGATTATTCCCCAAAAACTCTTTGGGGAATGTACATACTATTACACTCGCAAACATAGTTGACCGCGAAAATAGTTTACGCGTCTTTCTTAGCCGTCGACTAGGTTTAGGCGTCTTTCTTCGCTGAAGTTTTTTTATGCGTTTCGGCTCTGTTCTAAATGTGTGATTTTACTGAATGTACTTCCAAATAAAAAAGGGATGAAAAGAGGACTTTCTATCACTGGTTCTTAAGGCCGGGAACCTACTTAGATGAGTGAGATATGAGTTCCGTTTTCGTAAGCACTATCAGTAATAATTTTTCTGATTTTTACTGGCCGTCGTTTTCGTACGCCAAAACTTGCAAGAAATTAACAAAAGAAAGAAAATTGAGAGAGCAAATATGACAGCTGAGTTCGAAACAGAAGCTGAAGAAAAACAGCTGTTGACTTGATGCTGGGTGCAGTTCACAATAAAAGAGTTGTTTGGAGCAATGACTAAAAAAGCCTGTAAATTATGCAAAGAGAAGCTGTACGACGCCATATATAAATTTTTTATCCCGGCAAAACTAATACAGCTATGTAGACTGACGTTGAGATGAAAGGCGATTTCCTCTCGAATGGCTTTTTTAATCTGATGACGGAAAGCATAATAAGAGCTGTCACCATATAGAGAAAAAGTACGGTGTAGCTGGCGTATGTTGATAATATAACAGCGTCGACCTAATAAACAAGGCATCATCGCGGCATTATCCAGTTTAGAAAAACAAGCGAACGAAATTTGGCGGTGAACGAGAACGAGACAGAGTACCTCCTGGCAACACACAAAAAGTCCTCGCGTTTTGGGACGCACGTAATTGAGGCGGTTATAATTTTGAAGAAGTGAAGGATCTTGTCTACCTAGGATCCAGCATAAACACCACCAACAGTGTCAGCCTGGAGATCAAGCGAAGAATAACTCCTGCCCACAGTTGCTACTTTAGGCTCGGTAGGTAATTGAAAAGAATCGATGAACAAAAATTACGCTCTATAACATTTGACATCATGCCCATCTTTTTATATGGCACAGAAACTGTGGGTGCTTTCGAGAGAACTATTTCGAGAGAAGCACTGAAAAATATGGAATTATGAATTGTACGAGCTCTTCATCGACATTGTGCTGGCTTGAGCATGTTGTACCCATGCATGACGAGGCTGCATTGAAAGGATCCTTCGACTCCGCACTCATGGGTGGACAACGAAAGAAAGGGCGCCGGCGAACACAATGGAAGAACCAAGTGCAGAAGGACTTGTGTGAACTCGGAGTGTACAACTGGCACATCCTCGCAAAGAAAAGAGGTACTACGTCTCAGAGGAATATATAAAAGTCGTCTGAATTCCATTTCTTGGTAAAAAGCATCAGTTCCGTTTTGTTCGGATTCGCACTAAGTTCACTTTTGGAAGCCAACGAGTGTAATCTGAACAGAGGTTCTTCTAACACTTTGCTAATCGATACTTATTAGGCTGAAGTTTTTTGCTTTAGTGGGCTCTTTTTCCCGGTTTGGAAATGTCCATACACAACTTGACTCATTTTTCAGCTTATACTGATGCTGGCTGTGTAGACCATTTATAGGCAGAATTCGGAGCAATTTTATTTAGGCATTAAAATACTAACGGAGGATGGTTCGGTGCGCCGAAGTGAAAAATTTTTGACTGCTATTCACCTGGGAGTGGCCAGAAGCGATTCTTATGCGTACGGTTCAAATCGCAGCTCACAACGTGCGGATATTTATATCCACGTATCCTCTGGGCAGCAACCAAACTCCCGTTTGGGAGCGAGCTAAATTTAGAAGGCGTAAAACTTCGCTTTTAACTTTTTTAACTTTATTTTTCATTACATATACATTTTTTCTGAGTCTATCTAAAATTATGTTAGCTTATTTTTAAGACCATCAAATAACACTGTTCGTGAGTTTTTAGAAAAGAGTAAAGCATATTTGTGTTTCCGAAACTACAGTTCCTTTAGAACATTTTGAATCACACATTTCGATTCACAAGACGTGTTAACCGTTGTAAAATCTTAACCTTAACATTTTTTTTTGTATTAGAGGATTTATAACTACACAGAAATGTTTTTGAACTGATAAAAAATTATAATTAGCCCCCCCTAAAACCATTTTAACCATTATTACACATAAAGAAATGTTAAGCTTAACGACGCTTAACACGTCTTGTGAATCCCCTAGCTGTTTAGTTTTTCTCATCACACTAGGTGTTATTAAAATTTGCACACTGTCACATGAGTGTCCTAACATTTATGATTTATTACAATTCCCTCATTTTATTTTTCAGCTATTCCGAGGAGAAATGTGGTCACTATTATTACAATACCAAAACGAAACAGTCACAATGGGACCATCCGCTTGACGCGGTCTATCGTGAATTGGTTGAACAGGCGCGTCAAAAGCATGCAACAATAGTAGCCACACCTGTCATAGATAATTCCGACGATGCGTCGCAACTGGACTCTGGTATACGTAGCTTACAAGGCAATGATGAATGCGACAACACCAACAACACAAATGAAATGTCTTCACCTGTGAGCAACGTAAATGCAAACTGTACTGCAAGGCCGGCCGCTGTTGGCCCGTTTGGTGGTATTGGTGCCGCTACTCCCAGCATTTTTGGTATAGGATTGTCGAGTAATTCAGGTTCGGTGTCTAATAGCACAAGTACCAGCGGATTTAGTGGGGGTGTGAGTCGATTTCTGGAATCGAGAAGCAAAAATTTTGGACTGACTTTTCAGCCAGTAAAAGGTTCACGTTTTGAGGTATCTAAAACAAATCCACAAATCTCGTTGGCTATGAAGTTTGGCGGCGAGAGCTTTTCCTCGAAGCTAGCGGCGGCAAACAAAACCGAAACAGCTTTAGGAGCAGCGTCTGGTGGCGTAGATAAGCGTGCTTTTGTTCTATCAGGTACTGGTGCCATGTTCCTAAAGTCACGAAAGCAAATGGAAGCGGGCTTGAATCAGGCCACTGCAGCCATGCTTATAAACAGCAACTCGAGTAACAACATCATTGTTGAAGGTGTGGCCGGTACGCCACCGGGTGTGAAGGGCATATTGCGTGACTCAAGCTTAACAGATATGCGTCGAAGATTTGAGAAGGAGGATCCAGAAAATGGCGGCGCGGAGGATAAAAAAAGTGTGCGTTTCAATTTAGAAGAGACTAAAACACGCGGTTCCCCAGAAGAGGAGCCGAGCAGTTCGCGAAAGCTTACACAAAGCCCAGAAGCGTCAGTTTACTCAGACGACGACGAAGCGGAAGAAGATCCTTGGGATGAAGATGATGATGATGAAGTTGATGCTTGTGCAGGATATGGCGCACTGGGCGGGGAAGGTGGAATACTTCGTAGTCGCAATCCATTCTTGATGAACGATGAAAAACACATCAAGGACATACAAGTCATATCGGTACCAAAGGCACAAACTATACAAATGCTTAAAGCCCAAAGCCTTTCAATAGATCTGCCAGAATGCGATCGTACAAAACTATCGGAGTTGGTGCGTCCACAATGCACTGAATCTGGTAGTCTGCCACAGCCGGCATCTGTAGTGAGCTACCTGGAAAAACTAAAGGATAATTCTACAACTATTAAGCCCTTGTACGAAGATACAGATTCCGAGTCGAAGGGCAGTTCAGTGAGGAGCTTTATAATAAATAAATCCGAACAAGATTCGGTGAATTCGATAGTACCGGCGAGCAATCCATTTGAGGCGGAAGAGAGTGCACCAAAGACTAGTAGAGAAAGCGAACACGTTGAGGTTAAAACTATGCCAGAAAAGACAGCTTTGCGTACGTTTAAAGTGGCTTCGAAGCTTGTTGGATTCCTGAAAAAAGATACTAATAAGACTGAAGGGGAAAACGACAAGGAAAACGAAATTTTGAGACAAATGGCGGAGAGGGAAACAGTGAAGGAGGAACGTGAGCTTTTGGAAGAGCAACTTCAGAGTCAAATAGATGCAATCAAGGCTGATCACGAAGAAAAACTGAAGAGCATTCGTCAAGAGTATGATTCGCGATTGGCAGCACATCGCCAAGAATCGGAGCACACATTTCAGACGAGATTGAGTGAATATCGCGTGCATTTGGAGGAAGAGTTGAATATGAAACGGAAAGCTGTGGTTGACGAGCACAAAGCTCATATGGCTACGTTACAAAAGAATCACACCGAAATATTGCAAGACCTAGAACGAGACCTGAAAAGTGAAGAAGAAATAATTAAAAAGGAGCATGTACGTAAACAATCGGAAATGCGTGATAAACTAGCACATGAACTAGAACTGGAACGGCAGCGCATGCGTGAAACAGGCGAAGATAGACTGTACGAGAAGATGCGTTGTGAGAAGCGTTTACTGGAAGATAAGTACCGCTGTTTGAAGGAGAAGTATGTCCGCTTAAAAACGGATGTCAAGTTATCGTTAGAGCGACGAAATCGGCGCCGTGAGGCACAGGCACTGCATCAACAAAGCCTACACACGAACACCACTACAACGGGCTCGGAGACTGAGAGATCCATATCGAACAAACCGTCGATTGGAAACAGCGAGAATCGTTCGCTTTCACTGTCGACCTCTTGTCAGGAGCCAGGTGGTGCTAGTGTTGGCACAGTTCCCCACTTACTGCTAGCTGGTAAGGGCGCGAAGCCGCCGGTGCCACCGAAAACACATCTCACGCCTGTGTCAAACAGCAAGGAGCATGGTCAGGCCGCACGGGAACGCTCAAATGAGCGCACTCAAATGACGGGTATCCGCAAGCCAGGTATCGCATCGAAGTATATTAAACACTTGCAGGTGCAAGACGACACGACCACCTCGATCAGTCAGTCAGACACAACTATATCCAATAACTATTGCAAGGGACGCTACATTCCCGCGCCAGTTTTAAGCGACAATGGCAACTCTGACTCAGAGGCTGCCTTCCAGTGTAATCAAGAGAACAACAACAATGCGCGTGGTAATGGACAACGTAAGAAGGTATTCTCTCGCATGAAGTCCGCATCCACGTCACGCCTCAACTCAGACAATTACAAGAACGATCGACCATGCACGCCTGTAGAGAATTTGCGGCACCAGCTACAGAAACTGGAAGATTTGGAAGATCAGTTCCCTGAAAACACACTCGACACCACATACCATTTGCGTTATCCATTTTCAGATATATCAAACGATCGCGCTGGTGCAGGAAACAGTTCGGAGCTTGAGTTCTTTAAACATCGCATTCACTTGGAGCGTGATAGTGTGCGACGTGCCAAAGAATCTTTACGCACACAACGCACTAATTTCCGCGCACGCCAACGTGAGATCAAACAGCGTCACAAGGCCTCTACCACGCGTCATTCACTGGATCAGCTCATACAAGAGGAGAAGGAATTGACTGAAATGGAAGTCAACTTGCACCGCACACGCGCCTTATTGGGCGAGAAAGTTATACGCTTGCGGCACTTGGAACAGAGTCTTTTGCGGATTTACGAGAAGGAAAAACCAACTATGGATTTACTCGGCATGGAGCAGAAAGACGATGCGACGCTGAGTGATCTCTCATCGCATTCAAGCTCAGGCTTTAGCAGTACTGATTTCGCTAGTGGCGGGGACACGACTAATTTACAAAAGCGCAAGGAGACCTACCATCAGGAATCAACTGAGTGCATACAAAATCTTGAAATTCTCAATGCAGAGATACGGGAAATTCTTGACATACTAGGAAAAAGTCAGCAACACGGAGGTAATGCAAGTAACCATACATAATATTTATATATTAGAATAATATATTTCCTACAAGGAAAATATTTTCTTTACTTTAAAAAAAATACTAGTATCAGCGGTAAGTGAACAGCTGTAACTATAGTGTCGCAGTGAAATTCGTCAGAGTAATCCAGGGATGGTAATTATTATAAGTAAAATAACTTAAATCAGAATTTTTTTCGCTCAACGGAAATAATTATTTTTTGATTTTTATTTTTTCGGTCACAAATAATGATTAGTTTATGATCTTTATTTTTTCGCTCAGAGATAATAATTATTATTGATTTTTATACCCGAGCGCACTTGTGCACAAGGGTATATTAATTTTGTTCACATAACGGTTGTTTGTAACAGCCAAAACGAATCGAGATAGATATAGACAAATGTATACCTAAATGCTCAGACTGAATAGAGAAGTGGATTAAGCCATGTCTGTCTGTCCGTCCGTCTATCCGTCTGTCCGTCCGTCCGTGTACACGATAACTCGAGCAAAAATTTAGATATCTCAACGAAATTTGGTATGTAGGTTTCCATTAATCCGAGATAGGTTTGTATTGAAAATGGGCGAAATCGGACTGTAACCACGCCCACTTCCCATATAACGGTAATTTCCAGAAATACGAAAACTGCGATATTTTAGTAACTACTGAAGATAATTCACCCAAACTTGATATTTACAATAATTTTCAGACGAAAAATAAGAATATTATAAATTTTTGGAAAATATGCGCAGCCACGCCCACTTATGGTTACATGTGTATATCTTGGTAACCGCTGCACCAATTTCTTCCAAACTTGGCACAGTTGTTGGCCTTGGTACATCATACCAATTGGCCGAAAAGTTTTAAAATCGTACAATAACCACGCCCATATCACATATAAGGGTAATTTAGAGAAATACAAAATCTTCGATAAATCGCTAAATATTAAAGCTAATTTATTCAAAATTGATGCTTGCAACAATTTTTTACCAAGAAATACGTTTGTGATAAAATTTTGGAAAGTGGACGTGGCACCGCCCACTTATGATCACATATATGTATCTCAGTAACCGTTACACCAATTTGTACCAAACTCGGTATGGTTATTGTGCTTACCACATAGAAGCAAAACTTTCAAAATTATTGAAATCGGACTAAAATTACGGCCGCTTTTCATATAACGGTGTATTTCAGAAATGCTTGAAACTTCAATATTTCGAAATTTAAAGACGCTAATTTACTCAAAATTAATACACCCCGGCTTACCATGTAGCGGTAGCTTTCGGAAAGTCGAAAAAACATATATTTAATACTTGCGCCGGGTATTTAATGTTCGGCTCCGCCCGAACTTAGACTTTCTTACTTGTTTTTTTTTTCACTTAGAATAATTAGTCGCAATCAGCAGAAATTTTGACCTGCAAATTTTGGGACTTATTACTTTTATTAGAGTGTCGCTACCTCTGAAAAGAATATGTCGGAAATTACCCTAGTATAGCTTCTGAGTTTTTTGAATAATCATTACTCTTAAGTGAAAAAATAAAAATCAATAGCGAAAAAAGAAGAAAAATCATAAAATAATTATTTTTGATCGAAAAAAATAAAAGTCAGATTTTAATAATTATTTTTGATTTTTATTCGTCTTGACCTGGACACTCACCGACACAGCCGCTAAACTTAAACGTAGAATACGCGATATTATCAGGGTCACATTCAAGTTAAAAACGGTACATGAAATATTCGTTTTGACTGTATTGAATTAAACTTAATAAATCAATTGGGGGACTCCCAATGGTGTCATAAGTGCCGTATTGTTGTATGTCGTCAACTTTAAAAGCATAAATAAATGTTTAAAGAACTTGAAACTACAACCAACTATTTTTTAACACTGCGAAAATTCAAAATATGACTTTGATGGTACTTTGCGAACCCCCTTAATATATTTTTTAGGCATTTAAAGTTTACGACATACAACAATACGACACTTACGACACCGTTGTGAATACACCAAATATTAATTGAAAATATTAAGAATTAGCAATAGAGAAGCAGATCCACATTAACTTCAATCATATGTACCATCTGTTTATAAATAGGCATATAATACATATGCCATGACATGTATTACTACTTGGATTAATTTTTATTTCCTTTCATACTGCAGAAATTATTATTACTTTTTATATTAGCCTAGGTCCCCGTATTACTATTCTTCTTCGTGTTCGTTCTCGTCTTCTCATTATCCACGTCTTCGAATTTGTGCATAATTTAGCTAAGACTTCTGAAACAGCTGGCAAACCTCCTAAATATAGTTAAAAAATAAAAAACTCTCGTGTGGCTGATATTGTGATACCTACAAATTTCATGTGCCTGATGAATTAAGTTAATTTTGCTTTTTTAAATGCGTGACAACTATTAGCGTTTTCTTTTCTCAAAAAAAGTTCTGCCCTTTTATATGGGAACTCTTGCTTTGCGTTGCCCTGAAACCTGGGAAAATGTTGCGTTTTTTATATGAGAATGAAACAGAAAATATACTACTCCATCACAATTTATTTATAGAACTTAATAAAGCGGAATTATTCACTTGGCCTGTAAGTCTTTAACAATTTTAAAGCAAAACACTTATTTCTGATAGGGAAAATAATTGCATTTTTACAAGATTAAATTAAAAATCAACCATGCAACTCTCACCCTCACGTTTATTTGGGGGCAGAAAAGGCAGCACTTTCGCCGGATCAGAGCGCAACCTGCTGAGAAAAGAACACGACGCCTTGTGAAAGGGCTGAGAAAAGAACATGAAAATGTGACAGCGCTAACACAAGGCAGAATAAGTGCAGCCTTTTTTCGAGAAAAGAAAACGCTATAAGGCATCCAATCCCGGACCATTTTGTGAATCCCGGGATTTCGGGATCTTAAATTGGTAATTCCGGGATCCCGGAATATTTCGGGATATAATTACCATTAATTAAAATATGCTAACAAACTAGTTTTGCAGTCTTTCTTTAGTGCGAATACAAGAAATAAAAATAAATTTGTGTTTTTAGGAAAAGAAATATAAATATCTTTATTTGATATCAGTTTAAAAAGCTAATTACAAACTGAATAAACTAAAAACTAAAAAATTGTAATTCATTCATATTGCAGACGAAGTCATTTTAACAGTTGTACCTTTTTAAATTGATTTGCTTAGTAAAGACCAGAAAATTTGGGATATAAAATTACACCATCCTAATCCTTGTTTAATTCTCTATAAAAAACATGTTCCAAAAATTGGGAGTTTTTTAAGAACTATTTTTAAAATATATTTTTTTTATGACGAGGTGGTTTATTTTGTGAGAGTCAACAATGAAGTCTCTACGATGAACAGAACCCGAGATATAACAATTTGAAGAAGTACGTGATTATTTAGTCAGAATCACGAAAAAATCCAAAATTTGACAGATCATATGTATGTATATTCGAAGAAAAAAGGAAAAATATGAAGCCAATCGAAATTGTGACACCAAATTTGGTGTCCGGTATGAAAAAGAATGCCTCATATGTATGTTATATATGTATATTATAACACAGAATAATAGTAGTATTAGAATTGTAATATATTATTTGATTATTTGTAGGGTTGCATTTTATAATCCTTTTATGCCATTACAGTGTCTGAATGTCGTTTTATTTTAATTTGGTAGTAAATTAAATTATATCTAGGGATCCCGGTATCCCGAGGGCTTGATCCCGGGATTTCGGGACTTCAAAAAGGGCGCGGGACTCCCGGGATTCGGGATCCCGAATCCCGGTACTAGATGCCTTAGTGAGAACGCTCCTAAATACAGTTCAGAAATAAAGCCTTTTTAAAACCATTTCGTTTGATACCCATATTTTTTAAACAGGTGGCAACCCTCTTAATTATTCTAAACATTCAAACCAAGGATATCTTGCCACCTTCGTTTCACGTCATATTTTAATATTTCATTTAGCTTATGCTTACTTTAATTAAATTCTAATTTTAAAACATATGGCAACCCTATTCAAAGTATTTTAAAACCAAAACCTTGTAAAACCTTTTTCGACTGTCACAAATATTCCGATACATATTTAAATTGTGTATACTCAGAAGAAAATATCTCTAACCCATGCCAATTTATACCCATGCTTTAATAATTCATTTGATTTATTAAATAATTTGAGTTTAACTTTTTCCACAGGTGGAAACCTTCTTTAATGTTATAAATTCTCAAACTAAATATTTCATAATAATTTAATTTAATTCGACTTTTCAAACATATGGAAATCCTGGCAAATTATTTTTAAACCAAAACCTCGTTAAACCTTTGTTTCTAACACTTGTATTGTGATACATATTTAAATTATCTATTTCTCTTAATTAAAATTGAATTTAATTATAAAATCAGGTGGCGACCCTGAAAATAAAGCTTCTTCAAAGCATTTTTGATTTACATATATTCATATTGAAGTAATTTATTTGACCTATTGTTTATATTGAATCTAAGTTTGTAACAAAGTGGCAACCCTCTGCAAAATATTTTCAAACCACAACCTCTTTCGTCGGACATCCATATCAGGATAAACATTTAATTTTGTCTGCCTTTATTTAAGTCGAACTTGCTTTTTGAAACATGTGGCAACCCTTCTACATATAATTAAGAAATAAAGCATTTTCGTAACAATTTCGATCGATACTCAAGTGAGTGAAAATCACTCAAGTGGGCCACCCAAAATTGGACGGTCAAGATTTTTTCGCACAAATCACTTTATTCGGTTTACAGCCATAAAAAAAATATAATTTGAGCGATTTTGCTAAATTCGAAGTTTTACAAGAGTTATTGTTATTAACTTTTTTTGATGAATTCAGTATTTATTTATTATACACTGATTCATAGCATGTATCTTGCTGATTTTTTCCACGATAATAGTTAATTAGGGTTGCCAACCCTGCTATAATATATAGTATTGTGCTATTTTTTCGGTCTGCATACTACAGTCAGTC